ATTGGTCGACTTCCTGTTTTGACTCCCAGTGTGTGGTTTGACTTGCCAGCCCGTGGCAAAATAAACCCCCACTCCAGAATTCTGATGTTGTATGGCATTTATTTCTTATCACAGATCATTTTATTTAACACTGGTGTTTTCATCTGACTTCAGCCGTTATTGAACACGTATTTTCTTGCAGGAGGCAATTATTGTTAGCTTTCTGTGGCGGTGATGTGATTCACACAGCCGGTGAGAGCGGGACCAGCACTGAAACCGGCGCATTTTTAGCAGCCCGAGTGGTACTACTGCGATCATAGAAACCATCATGCCCAACAGCTGCAGAATGGTCTGAAAACGCAGTTTGTGTCCCAGTTGAAACTGAGCGAGGCAGCAGTGAAACGCAGCTACTCTGTTTTCTGAGAGATGCGCTCTGCCTGACAGGGAGCATATTTCTAACCCGAGGAAAGAAAACTGCTGACTCGGAGTCAAAAAGATTTTCTGGAAATTCATAGAAAAACCCAGAGTTTGAATGTGCGACAAGACCTGAGACAGATGCTCTGTAGCCTGCTCCTCTAGGTACGCTTACAGGCAGACTCCTTTTTCTCTGAGAGGAGCTAACGCTGCCTCTACACACTTTGAAAAGGTGCGGGGCGCCAGCGACAGACCGAATGGTAGCACCAGGTATTCGTAGGCTATGCCCTCTATCGCAAACCTCAGAAATTTCCTGTGGTCCAGGTGAATCGCTACGTGAACGTTAGCTTCTGTTAAATCGATGGTTGCAAACCAGTCGCCCGGGCTGACAGAATGTAGAAGCTGTTTGAGTGTTAGCATTTTGAACCTGTATGTTCGTAGAAATTTGTTTAACACTTGTATGTCCAGAATCGGATGGAGCCCGCTGCCTTTTTTCGGAACAACAAAATAATGGCTGTACCAACCTTTGTTCACGTCCGAGTTGGGGACCACACGTATGGCTTCTTTTGTCAGTAGTGTGTTTATTTCCTCGCTCAAAACTATTGCTGCTTAGGGGTGTTAAAACGAGGCGGGCTCATGCAAAACTGTAGGCAGTAAACCGTGGCAACAGTTTTTTTTCACCCAGGAGGGGAGCCCTTGCTCCAAGCAGAATGGCGGGGAGGTTGGCCGTGGTTCTGCGGCTGCTCTGACTGGGTGCTCAGGCTGCCGGGCAACACCGCTCTTTTTGCAGGAGGCGGCTGGCTTCTGTGTGCTGGTCTTCGGTCTTGCGTCATGTCTGGGGATTATGCAGCGCAGAGCTTCAGCCTGCTTCTTCCTCTGCTCGAACTTCACCTGAATGGCATCGAGAGACTGGCTGAATAACCCAGCAGCCATCACTGGTTCATCCAGGTACGCAGCTCGGTCTCTGTCGGGGACATCAGAGAGCGTCATCCACAGATGTCTCTGCGCCACCACAGTTGAAGCCATCCCTCTGCCCAGGGAGAGCGCTGCATCACGGGACGGACAGACCCCAGCCTGACAAATACCCAAACATACACATACACAATCACTCCATCCCACCCTCATCCTCACACCCACTGATTCAAAGACATACAAGGACGCCACATTCCACTCATACCCCCGATACACACTCTATACCCCCCAGGTCCAGGACATGCACCCATCCCCTACTGGAGGCAGTACACACCCGAACCCAGGAGGTAGACCCAATCATTCTGGGGTGGAGAGGAGCAGATAGCCAAGGCCCGGCCCGGGCCGCACCAGGACGCCCGGCCAGCCCCCCCGCTGCAGAGAAGCCACGCCTACGACCACCCCACAACACTGCCAATGGCCAAGCGCACCCCCCCCCACAGCCAACCACCCACCGGAACCCGGCAGCCACCCCAGCCAGCGGGCCACCCATAGCAACCAGGAGCCACACCTCAGGAGTCCAAGCAGCACCAGGGAGGATGGCGAGCCAGCCCCGTCCCAGCAACCGTCCAAGCCCCGAGCCCACCCACAGCCCAGGACCGCACCCGGCGGCCTGCCCTTCAATTCCATCTTCAACGTAGACTCCCTGAGGGTGGTACTTTTGACACTGCCCTCAGGGAGAGACCAGGATGTTCAGCAGACTTTAGGAGAGAAGAGAAGAGCAAGTGCAATCAGCAACAATACAGTGCTGTTGAGAGGGCCTTTTTTTGTTTGCTGATCAGATTCAGGGCCCTGAGCACTGAAATAGAGTCAACAGATTACAGATCTGAGGAATGTTTTTTAAGGAGAATCAACTTGGGTTTTGGTATATTATTCTGGCTTCCAATTACTGATCACATTTTCTTACTATATAAAAGCTCAATAAAGTCCACTTTGCATAATATCCACCCTTTAGATTATAATGAAAGGGTGTGGTTTTAAAAGCCTGTCGAGGAAGTCAGGGTGTGGTGTTGTTCTCTTGAGGGGAATGAATTCAAGTTGACGTAAGGTAAAAATATGAACCAGAAAAGTTGCACTGAGGAGGAAGACAGGTTTCTTTGGTGCAGTCGTGTCAAACTTCCCTTGGAGAAGTGGTGAAGAGGAGCACTTTGTTTGTAACAAGATGGACAATCACTCGGTAAGTCGGCTTCTTCTTAAAAAAAAGATTTGTTTCTTTACCGACACCCTTTGACTGCCAGACATGATGAGGCAGGTGTGAGTTCAGGTGGAACAACCTGCACAGAAGTGAAAACTGTTTCTGATGAAGTTACAGGAAGTATAACGTTTGTTGAGCAACAAGTTCTGGTAGGACCGACTGCTTGGTCTAATAACACCTGCTGAACTTCAGAATTCATTAAAAAATAACTACTTTGAGAAACTTTATAGAAAAAAATATAGAGGCAAAGAACAAGTGAGCATCAGCGGCACTGTACAGGATGAAACAGCTAGTATCCTAGATCAGTGGTTCTCAAACTTTTCAGCCTTTGACCCTCAAAAAACCAGCAGCAGAGACCTGAGTCCCCAACTCTTGTTGGATCATAAACATTGGTTTCACGTCAAAAGAAATAAGAGCACAGTAACTATATTCATTATGCTATTTTTGTCTGTTTTAAGTACACTAACCTTACTCTTTTGTAACAACAAAGGAAAAATGTTAGTTGTTATTTTCTAATATAATTAATTCAGGAAATCTTTTCAGGACCCCACCTTGATGTTTTGGGACCCCATTGTGGGTCCCAACCCAAAGTTTGGGAACCACTGTCCTAGATTACTGCAGGAAGGGGCTGATGTCAACGAATACCAGCAGTGACTACAGAGAGCTGGACAGAAGGGCAGAACAGAGGCACTAATCGTGGCAGCACATGAGTAATACAGGCACTGCTGGGTCTAATGTAACATACTGGATTCAAAATGCAGGTAAAGATCCCCCAGAGACAGACCAGCACAAAATAAGTTTCGTGCAGTCCAGCAAAGCATACAAGGAACACCAGAACCACCAGGAATAGACTGCAGAAACATCAGTTCTGAGTATAGACTGAAGGTCCTACAGATCATGAAAGGTGGTGGAGAATGGTTGAGAATGAGTGTGTGGGCAGGTGTGTCAAACTTATAAACTAATATCTGAGTTCATTTTGAGCAGCTATGTATGAAATTATTAGAATTTCTTTGTTGTCCTGAGTGCAGAGACTTATTTGATCAGTTGACTGAATGGTAACTGAGGCTGTGTACTATAAAACGTTGCACAGCAGTTATAACTAAAACCTGTGTAAATTTATGAGCAACTCAGCTATGAAAGAAAATTAACACTTTATTTTCATTTTATGCTAATTGCAGCCTAAATGACAAAAATCTCAGTGCCTGTCACAGTTGATTGGTGAAATGTAACATTGAACTAAATAAAGAGTGGACAGTTAAGCATTCACCATCATTCATTTATGCCGGCAGACCGGACTCCCTTATTGTAGTTAGCATTCACTCAAACCATTCCATCAGTGTCACCTTCAGCCATTTTTATGTTAGGTCAATAACTGGAAAGCATCTAATGTGTCAGGCTTTTGTTTGACTCATTAGGTTCTACTGGGTGACTGATGTAATCAGCAGGTAAGCTTCCCATCCCRGAAATCCTGATCCGAGCACACAATAAGTTGGGGCGTGGTCACAAACTGGTTCCTGGGGAGTAGTAACTTACTTTCTGTTAACATATTTGGACCTTGGGAAACATGACTGCACCAGAGATGTTTAGTAGTGAGGAGATGCCCGGTGACCCACCCTATGGACTATGAATGAAATCAATGTCACATTGAAAATTTCCATAAGCATCTAGTCATCACACACATCAACCTTTACCAAAAAAACCTTCATGTCCAGTTTTAAGGAAGTTTGAGCTCAGATACAGTGGACGTCTGTGAGACATGCACAGATGTGCACCCTGCACTCTGAGAGGAAGTCCTACAGCAGTGAGATMTACATCAAGTTATAAAAAAACATTACTGTGCAACTATATGTTGATACATACAATTATTTAAAATTATACAAGAAACCAGATGTTTTTGCAGAAAGTTTTGAAAGTTTTAACAGCTCAGATTGCATGAAGTCAAAGAACTTCTTACAGGTTTTGGTTTCGTTTGACTCAAACTGTCATTAGTAATAATTGCTAAGGGGTAGTTTCTTTAACTGCCTTAAATGTTTTGCATGTCATGTACTAAAATACAAAAACAAAAACAGAGCAAAACTTATCAGCTTATTGTTTCATGTTAGTTAAATGTAGCTCAGATTTAAATTAATTTAACTTCAGGTATTTTTATATTAATTAGAAATATACATTAATTAAATGGCCATCAATTTTAGTGGACATGTTTTTCTCAGGATTGTTAAATATACATTTAAATTAAGCAATTGTTGGTATATTTTAGGAAATGATAAACAAAAATATCAGTGTTGTATATTGTAAACATACATTTATTTATCATCAGTGCATGTTCTCATACGATGATGAAATAAGCAGTTGGGGGTTAGGTGTCTTGCTSAAGGACGTCACYACYTATTGTTCTTTTTTTCATGTACAGTGCCCTGAGACTATGTATGTTGTGACATGGCGCTATATAAACGGAATTGAATTGAATTGAATTGGCATGTGGGCGTGGCGGGAAGTCAAACCTGTGACTTTCTGGTCCCAGGTCGGCTGCTCTACCACTGCACCACAGCCACTCCCATTGACCATCATTGGCAATGATATTGGTCGACTTCTATTTTGGGTGTTTATGGAAACTCATGGCCATCTGTACTGCAGGAGCGGGGAGGAGTGGAGGAAACACCGGAGCAGAAGGACAAGTTGCAGAGCTTGAAGGATCAGGTGGATGAAGTTATAGACATCATGAAGCAGAATGTGGAACAAGTCATGGCTCGAGGAGAAAACGCAATCCATCTCGAGGACAAGTCTAAGGAACTGGAACAAGGGGTCAGTCTGACCACTTTACTCGGTTTGTCTAGATCTGGGCTGTAATGTGGATAATGCAGGTGTGTAAAAGGTTTGGCAGTCTGTGATCTCGGTAATGGCTTTCAGCTGAACCAGCACTCGAGGTCAGTTCAAGTTCAGGAGCTCACAGGACACAAAGTGTGGCTGCATTTTGTTGAGACTATGAACTTATTATCCAACAGCCCACAATCTGCATTTCAGTTTGCTCTCCGAATAACGTTGCAACCTTAGTAATGTTTTGATTTTTATCACTGCTGAAAAACCACAAGTAGAACTGATGAAAACAGAGATTTAGTTTAATTTTGTGTCTCAAAGAGCCACATCAGTCTCAAATTAACTCTTTACAGCTGAAATATTTGTCATGAAATTTAAAGGAGATTTAAAAAAAAAACTTGGGATTGTTTAAAGATGTCAAAGTGATGAAGTTGGGTGCTTTTTTAGCTTTTTTGAAGAAGCAGATAATTCAAATTGAAGAGGGTTTCTGTGATAAGTTATAAATAATAAGTATCTTACCTGCTGTTGGTAGCTTCTGGACTTTTGGAGGATCCATGTGTCACATCTGGCAGTAATTTAAATGATTTCTGATGAAATAGCAGTCTATGCAGACTTTACACAACTAGGAAATGTGAGTAAAATCTGTCTTGTGTAGTGCATCCTTCACTTTAATTATGTTCAAATTGGGTATTAGCTTGCCGGCCCTTTTGGAGAACTGAAGTCATTCAAGAAGCATTTTACACAGATGAAGGAAATGTGACTGATTAACTGACTTTATCAGTTGTAGTCATTTATTTTAAACAGTGATCAAATCAACATGTTTCTACATAATACAGTTTTTGTGTTCCTGAACAAAGACTTGTTTAAGATTTCCAGTGTATCAGTGCTAACAAAAAGTTACCAGTGTAACTGGGAATTAAACTTTTTTTGTTCTGCGCTATTATTCAGGCTTCCAGTTTTTGAACAATTTCTCACACATGGACCCACTTCAAAATGTCCAAGCCACAAAAACCGTCCACAGATTGATTCCCTTTTGATTTGTCCTCTTCCTTTTCTTTCCACTTTGCTCTTGTTCGACATCTACGACGGAAGATTAGGGCCACAAAACGAGATTTTTATTTTTTAAATTACAAAAATATTCATAACGTTATGAGATTAAAATCATAATATTATGAGACTAAATTTGTTATATTACGGGATTAAAGTCATTATATTCTAAAATTAAAGTTGTAATATTATACCCTTTACACAAAAAAGCCTGCAGTTTTATCACTGCATTAAAATGAGGAATGTTGAGCAACTTGTCAAGTTGTTCTTTAGTATTGCTTAAAATAAATAGTTAATGTTTTAGCACATTAGTATCAAATTATCAGTAGCAGGACTTGGATATTAACCAAACGACTGTATGATAAACTGAAGCTGTATTGTGATTAATAGATTCATTGACAGATTTAGTCACGTAGCTAATTTGGATGAAAGCCTATTAATCTAACAGTGACCCAGGTCATCATGGACTACTTTATAAACACAGACACATGACTGTAGACAGTGTGGGGGAAATAAGGAGGAAATGAGGAACGAGAAATGGACACGTCATGAAAGATTATGACTTTTTTCTCATTGTATAATGATTTTATTCTCATAAAACTGTGACTTTATTCTCATAATGTTATGACTTTATTGTCATAATAATAAAAAAAATCTTGTTGTGTGGCCCTAATTGTTGTAGATATCAAACTGAGTTAGACAAAGGAGCCAAAATTCAAAACTTGATCCAAACTAAAGGCCAATATCTGTCAATATTCATTCGTTTATTCATTCATAAATGTTTATTCATTTATTAAAAAACAAAATTTTATACACAATAAAAATAAAAAGACAAATACAACAAAATGAAGGGAAGCAGAGAGAAGAACAAAATCTTATATCTGCCCTGTTTTTCTTCAAGTATAAATTCAAACAACAATAATCCTCAGTTAACAAAACAAAATAAGAACAATTCAATTCAATTCAAATTTAAAAATACTTTGTTGATCCCAGAGGGAAATTAGGTAACATCAAATCATTCTAGAACAGCAAATTATATGTTTACACATTACAGATTTTCATATTTTACTACAATCCAACCTTTATCATTCTCTTAATTGTGTACTTTATTTGGCACTTTTCACATCATTTTCCAGATTATTCCACAATCTGACTTCTTGGATTGAGGTGCACCGTTCTTTCAAACATGTCCTAAATTTAGATTTCATGAACAACTCTGTCCCCTTAAGATTATAATAGCTCTCTGTCTTTGCAAAGGTTTTCTGGATGTTTATAGGTAATGTGTTAAGGTGAGCCTTATACATAACTAACAAAATATTGTAATCAACCAAATATTTATTTAAGAAATGTTATYTAACAAGTTGTTCTTATAGAAATACAGACTAACTTTTTCAAAATATGTTTAATGTAGCATTTAGAATAACTGAGAAAGAAAAAAAAAGATTAAATGTAGAATCATAAGGATTCTTTTCTATGGTTAACCTCACACCTGACACTCTTGTTTTTTGAATGAATTGAATCACAACGTTGATTTTTTGTCTTTTCCTGCTCAGGCTAAGGAGTTCAAGCACAGTTCCATAGAAGTCAACCGTTTCTACAGGTGCAAAAACATCAAGCTAATCATCTTCATTGTGGTCATCGTTGTCCTCATCGTCCTCATCATTGTGCTGTTGGCCACCGGAGTGATTCCTGTGACAGCTACTAATTCTACCACCGAACCCTGAACACACACAGGAGGTCCACACTGGCGTTAACACACACACACACACACACACACACACACACACACACACACACACACACACACACACACACACA